GGGCATCGATCAGCCTCCCATTATATCTGTACCATATGGAGATTACCCCGGTACAGCTATTGAAGGCTTCACGAACTACGTGGTCAAAATAGATGTTAAATAATGTGGGAGCCAGAGGACATCCCTGTCGCACCCCAAGGTGTACAGGGAATGGCTCTGACTCCCGGCCACGTAGTTTCACCCGGGCCCGCTCACCATCATGAAGGTCCTTAATGATCGTGAGCAGAGGGTCAGGTACTCCAAAAGCACGAAGAACGACCCAGAGCCCAGGCCTACTGATGGTATCATAGGCCTTGACCAGGTCAATAAAGCAGAGATGTAGGTCTTGTTGGAATTCCCTACACCTCTGCTGTAGCAGACGGACAGAAAATATGGCATCTGTGCAGGACTGCACTATCCTGAAACCGCATTGGGGCTCCGCAAGCCTCTCCTCAGCGTGCCTGGCAAGGCGATGCTGAATAATCCCTGCCAGGACCTTTCCCGGCACACTGAGGAGTGAGATGCCCCTGTAGTTGTTACAGTCTGTGCGGTCCCCCTTCTTAAAAAGGGGGACCACCAGGGCATCCTTCCAATCCTGCGGAACCCGTCCAGTGGTCCAGACTGTTGTTATGATGTCATATAGGGCAGTCTGTGCACAAACGCCACCCTCCCTCAGCATTTCGCTTGGGAGATCATCTCTGCCCGCTGCCTTTCCTGGTCTCAGACTCCGGATCGCCTTCAGTACTTCCTCAACAGATGGCACCTCAGCCAGCCACTCACAGGGGGTGACTTCTTCCAATATTTGAGGCACCGCAGCCTCAGCAGGGTCATCCTCACTTTGTGCCACGATGTTTTCCTGGCTGAGGGATTTTCCCTCCCCCAGGAACTTACAGAAATGCTCAGCAAATCTACAAACCTGTTCCTGGGGGTCAGAGATTGGATCACCGTTTTTTCCCCTAATGATGGTAATAGGTGTGGCGCTGCAGGTTACTTTTTTGATGGAGTTAAATAGAGATTTGTGATCACGGGCCACTGAGGCAGACTCCATCTCCTCAGCAAACCCGCGACCACCACCCATCCTTGCAGCGCCTCACGGCTCTCCGAACCTCCGAGCGAAGGCTGCGGTAAGCCTGCTCATTCTCTGACGTGGGATTCTGTAGCCGATGACAGTGGGCCTGTCGCTTTTTCTCAACCATCCTTAACACCTCCTCTGTCAGCCAGGGTATCTGGGGAGGTCTGGACCGCGTACCCAAAGCAGCCATTGCAGCTGCATGAGTCACAGTCCTAAACCTCGCCCATTTACCCTCGACATCAGGAGGAGTCGGGGACGATGCCAATCCCAACTGCAAGCGATGATGAAATTCTCGCTTGCAACTTTCATCAGATAACTGAGACCAGGCCACTTTAGGTCGGAATGGGGTCCTGGGTGTACACCCACCACCGGAGTGGAAGAATGGCAGGCGTATCTTACAGATGACTAGTCGATGGTCAGAGGGCACATCAGCTCCACGGTAGGTCCTGGTGTCAAGGACATGGGCTCGCATCCGCTGGTCCGTCACTATGTAGTCCAGCAGATGTTCTTGCTTGGACCCGGCATGCATCCATGATGTTGTGTGGATGCGCCGATGCCGGAACAGCGTGTTGGTAATTACAAGCCCATGGGCTGCACAAAAATCTAGCAGCCTCCTACCGTTGTTATTGAGCTGATCTGGCCCATGCCCTCCAATCACTCCAGACCAGGTGCCAGTATCATGACCAACTCGGGCATTGAAGTCACCCAACATGATGACTCTATCCCGAGGGGCCACTGTAACCACACACACATAACCACACGCACATAACCACACACACACAATCACTCACAATAACAACAACCGCCATTCGCCACTAAGTGGCGGTGACGTCACCACGATGCTTGTGCCAGGCTAGGTGCACGTTGAGGCCACGTGAAGTGTCGAACGCCCCCTGGCAGGAGGTCACGGGGCAGACCCAGCAGGTGCCACGGGTCGACTGACTGAGACGAGTGGCTGATGCACCACCACCTGTGCCCCCTACTGTGCAAACTTGCTGGGCTTTAGCCACACGCTGGGACATACACAGATGCGTACACACGCACACACGCGACGTCTATTACAGGAGAAATATTGTCCGTGCATCACTGCAATGTCCGACACGGGTTCGTTAAAAAAAAGGCAAAGAAAGACGGAGCGACATGTCGTAAGAAGCGAAGAGAACGTGTTTGTGATGAAAACTGCGTTGGAAAAAAATTGGCGCAGTAAAAATGGCACAGGGAATGAAATATGTCGCAAGCGAAAACGTGGGAAAAAAATGTCACAATGAAACGGGTCAGGGTTAATCATCTCTTTCATTCAGATCAATATATTAGCACATCATGGGACCTCCTTTGCCAGTATCAATATATAACAATAGGTTTTACCCTTTCTGTTTGCCGTTTGGCATCCTCTGGTCTAACACTGTTTGAGGCGAGGCTCTAAATAAGTAATATTTAAAAAGTACTTTTTTTAAAACACGCTTTAATCAAATGTACCGTACGGGTAATGGTAGAACTCCACGACTCCAGGAAGTGACCCCGAAGCTTGCCATAACGTAAGGGGCCGTGGTGATTTACAGCCAACGTCAGTTGGCCGTGGACAATTAGACCCAAGCCGAAACATATTATATAAAAAATAATGTTTACAAAAATACATATTTATTTTTTATGATAGAATATAGTATTGTCATCGGTATGACAAAAGTATACCAAGTTTGCAGTCGATACCACATTGGGAAGTGGATTAAAATTGAGTTACAAGATTTGAGGATACAACAGTGAGTTAAATAAAAGCGTGTAGTAATAAAAAAATCTGTCTCTGGTGTGCACCAATCAGTGTCAAAGACAATGCATCATACACTACCAGAGTATGTTTTTGTGTTTGCATGTTCACCACAAGTACTGTGCGAAGTTAATGCGGACATGATTCCTTGCAAAAGGTTTCTGTTTGGTTCTAGATTTGAAGCTTTCGTGACTGCAAGGATTCGTACTTTGTTTTTTTTTTCGGTAAAGTCACGTAGGTAAAATAAAATAAATGAAAACTAAATTAAATCACGACGTTTCGGAGGCAACACAAGCTTCCGTCTTCAGGTGGAAGTCACAGCAAAATATCTGTATCAAGTGAAGAGCTCTGAGACACCCGGGATTATATACAGGTTAAAGGGGGGGGAGGAGCCAGGAAGGGACGTGGGTGGGGGGGAGGGCTGAGTTAAGCCGCCTTTTGTTATGCTGCAGGGGGTTCGGGGGAAGTGATGGTACACTGCATGTAAGCGGGTACACCCACTGGTAGAAATGGAAATGGCTGTACAATTATAAGGCAGCTAAAGTTTGACTTCGTTGATGGCATCTTTCCAATGGTTGCTCAATTTAAAACCATCCTCTCGGTTGAAGTTGTGTCTGTGTTTGTATATCTGGATGGCTTCATGGGCAAATCTTTGGTAATAACCGGGAGGTTTGCATAGTACTTTGGTATCGGAGAAAACAATGTCATGAGAACCCGCTGTGTTGAAACAATGATCAGCCACGGCCGAAGAATTCGTTCTGCCGTGTTTCAAATCTGATTTGTGCTCGCGAATTCGGTCAGAAATGTCGTTTCGTCTCCCCGATATAGCAGTCACCACAGGTACAACTCAATTTGTAAACACCGAGGTACTGTAAGTCAAGGAAGACATCCTTTACGGATGGGATCAGATCACGGATTTTGTGTACTGTATTGAACCGGACCTAGATCTTGTGTTTGTTTAGAATTTTGGAAATCTTTTTGGTAACGCCTGCTATGTATGGCAGTGTGATGATTTTGATCGGAGTATCAGGTGGTTGTTTCTGTATGGTGGGAGAAACAGCTTGACGGATAGTACGGTCAGAGTATCCGTTCATCTTGAGGGCCAGATGTACATGTTTTAATTCACTGGCCGGGTGGTGTTGGTCAGAAATGCAATGAGCCCTATGGTATAATGTTTTGATGAGATAATTCTTTTGAGCCGGGTGGTGGTGGGAATCAGGCTTCAAGTAGGAATCTGTGTGGGTGGACTTCCTGTAAACAGAATGTCCCAAAGAGCCATCAGTCCTCCTCTCAAACAGAATATCCAAGAATGGCAGCTTGCCATCTTTCTCCACTTCCATGGTGAATTTGATGGATAGGTGTCTGGAATTGATATGGTCTAGGAAATGGTTCAAAGCTGGGAGGCCATGTGGCCAAATGACGAAAGTGTCATCCACATATCTCTTCCACAGGGAAGGACGAAGGGTGGATGTCTGGATGTCGTCTGATTCAAATTTCTCCATGAAAACATTGGCTATCACTGGTGACAAGGGGGAACTGATAGGGGTACCCTCATTTTGTTTGTAGAAGGTACCATTCCAGGTAAAGTAAGTGTTGGTGAGGCAGTGCCTAACCAGTGCAGGTACATCAGGGTTCAGTCCATGTTGGACCAAATCTTAAATTATTGTTATGGTGTCAGGAACTGGGACCTTGGTGAACAGAGAGACCACATCAAAGCTGACGAGGATATCGTCAGCAGATAGTACAATGCCCTTGGCCATAGAAACCAATTGGGTTGAGTTAAGTACTGCTGAGGTGGTCTTGCCAGTGAAGGGAAGCAGAGTATCCGAGAAAATACGGGCTAGCTTGTAGGTAGGGGAGTTGATCGTGGACACGATGGGTCGTAGTGGGGTACCTTCTTTATGGATCTTGGGAAGAACATAGAATCTGGGAGGTCTTGCAGCCGAGGGTTTTAGGGAGGGACGTTTGGTTGGTTCGATTAGGGAAGTCGAACTAGTGATGATCTTGTTGGTTTTTATCGTTAGGCTGTTAGTAGGATCACTTTAAATTTTTGAGTAACTCCCATCATTGAGTAGGTCCTGGATTTTGGCCGACAAGGGCAATACCACTGTCATTATGGATAAAAACTCGATACGTTGGAATTGTATGCTGCTTATTTTTTTTGTTAAAATGTCTGATAGTGTACCATTTTTGTCATAATATCCGAAGACAAGGCATTGCAAAAAAAATAAGCAGTATACAATTCCAACGTATCGTGTCATCTTATTGATAAGCCTCCAAGCACGTTTTGCTGGAGGAAACCCACTTCAGAAATTGTTTCTTGCTGTGGTTGTCCCGCCTGATGACGGACGCTTGCCTTGCGCCCGAAACGTCGTGATTTAATTTATTTTATTTTCTACCTACGTGACGTTACCGAAATAACCAAAGAGTATGGATCCCTGCAGTCACGAAAACTTCAAATCTAGATTTAACTTTGACTCATAATTCATGTTTTGGGTCAGATCGCCACGCGAGCACTAATGCCGTGTGTCGCATAACCTGCTTCACCCGACACAGCCCAATAAATAATGCCGTCACGTGTCGCCGTTGTGGCAGAGAGCAATCCACGACATGTTGCACTCCAAAGCACCGGAGGTACTGCTGAAGCGTTGATTACATTGGTGCATTTGTTCACGTGACTTTGTCGGGTGGAGGAGGGTGTACAACACATTGGCATGTTACCCCAAAATAATAATTACGAATCGTAACATTGGTTGTGGAGCTATGCACTTGAAAAAAAAATCTAGATTCAAAACTCATTTCTTCAAAACTGCTTTTTGTGTTTAGTTTGTTGTCCTTCCCCCGCACCTCCGATTAGCGCGGTTGGCTACGTATGGTGCGAAAGAAGTTCAACACACATGTTGTCAGAAGGTACAGTACTTTACAAACATTGTATCTTTAATTTTCCAGAGAAGAATAAGCATCAGCAGCAACTTAAGGGGGGAGATTATTTTTTGACAGTCAGGCCAATTATCAAGCCTATGATGCCCAACACCACAATGGCACCTATAATAATGAAACAGGTCTTCTTGCGAGACTTCGCCTGAAATGACAGAAAGGGAGATGATTAAAACGTGCAGCCTTTAAGTGTATTATCATAACGCAGACGCATTCGCGTGTGATGCGTTTCCTCTCACGCCTTGTAATCAGCGCACCACTTGCGATCAAGTGGACATGTACGATTGAATGTGACGTGCAAAGCTTTAGGTCTGCGTGTGTGTGTGTGTGCGTGTTCGTTAAGGTGTGGAGCTGGCCACCCACCCCCTCGTGTGCCGTGCCAGCCTTCACAGGTGTTCTCTAACAGCATTGCCCCAACAGTCTATTAAGGCTATACGGGGGATCTTGTCTTTTGTTAACGGTGTGAGGAATGGTGGTGAGCTTAATCTGCTATGAACCTGGCAGTCGAGGTTCAATTCCCAGCCCCACAGCTGCAATGCTTTTAGACCTCACCGAGGTCAATTCAGCCTTAAATGAGCACCCGGTGTGGTGTGTAAAAATCATCACGGCCAGACCACCCCCTCATGCGCTGTTCAGTCCTTGTTAGCTGCTCGCAAAACAGTAATTGCTCCAACAAAATACAAGGCTATACGGGGGATCTTTGTCTTTGTGTGGTTTGTGATCCCTTAATGCACTGAGCATTTTGAGTCAAGTGGTGCAGAAACAAAACCAATGACTTTGTGAATGTCAATAAACATATTAGTTACTACAAAATGCACACTAATATATGCATCTTTGCAGAATGCAGCGGTGACATCTGACGATAAAGTTTGGATGCGCGTGCATGTGCGCGCATTAAAGGCAGTCGCCTTCTCGGCAATTCTATGAATTGTCGCAATTCAATATAATGGCAACGGTTTAGTTTTTTATATATATATAGCACCCAATATGCCGGAGGCATCTCAGAGCTCGTTACATCGCATCTCGTCCCAAACATTTGAAGGGGTACCCCCAGCGGCAGCTGCCCCTGTGCGGCACAAGGTTGACTCGGTACCTACCCTGCAAACGGGCATTAGTTTGACAACAGCGGTCGATGACTGCTACGTATAATCCCAATTGAGTGATCCGCGTGCGATTTTAGGATTTGGCAAAAAAAAAAATTTGAGCCTTTTTTGCGGATGACGTCAAAGGATCTTTCATGTTCACCGTGAAGCAATACAGTTTTATTTCGGCTATCACACCGGGAGCAATAATGAGGGCTGCTGCTGCATTCGAACCTCGGACCTCTGCGACAAGCTGAAAAATGCGCGGCCATCACGATTTCAGTCGGGGATTAATTTTCACATACGACATAAACGAACAATAATAATATATATAACACGTGATGCCTGTATCACGTGTTATTTATATATATATAACACGTGATGCCTGTATCACGTGTTATTTATATATATATATAACACGTGATGCCTGTATCACGAGCATAGAAAATCAATGAAACGTTTCACTGCTGGTGTATACCAAACCTGGTGTTTGCTGGCCGCTATGAGATTCTCATTAGCTCCCTCCACGTTCGAAGATGCGCTTTCCACATGATGAACTATGCTGTCTGCAGGGCAGAACGAATGAACGTGTTAGTGGAGGATGAATAACGGACGATACATTGGCAGTGCTGGACCCACTGAGATGTAATATTTGTTTGGAGTGGTGGCAGAGTAGGTGACACGCTGCGCTATGAACCCGGTGACCCGAGTTTGATTCTCAGCCGTGGTCAATGTCAGTGAACAGCGATCTCTGAAATAGTTCTTGGCCCTTCCCTTCACAAACCATAATTGACCAATACGGTGAAGTATGGTCGAACAACCCGAATTGCCGATAACAGTGTGGGGAACAGGGGCGGAGCCAGGATTTTGACTTTGGGGGGGCTGACTTCAATATTCTGAGATATCCAGTGTAATGTTTTCCAATGGGCGCCACAAATGTATAAAACAATTTTACTGGATTTGAACGCGGAGTTTATTAATAGGTCGGAGCCGCTGATGTGGCTAATAAGTTCGATAAGTTCGAAAGGCTGCCGCTCAAGCAGCCTGCAGGGCAGCACAAGGTGGCAGCCTGCAGGGCAGCACGAGATGGCAGCCTGCAGGGTAGCACAAGGTGGCAGCACAAGGTGGCAGCCTGCAGGGTAGCACAAGGTGGCAGCCATGCAGGGCAGCACGAGGTGGCAGCCTGCAGGGCAGCACGAGATGGCAGCCTGCAGGGTAGCACAAGGTGGCAGCCTGCAGGGCAGCACGAGGTGGCAGCCTGCAGGGCAGCACAAGGTGGCAGCACAAGGTGGTAGCCTGCAGGGCAGCACGAGGTGGCAGCACAAGGTGGCAGCCTGCAGGGCAGCACAAGGTGGCAGCCTGCAGGGCAGCACAAGGTGGCAGCCTGCAGGGCAGCACAAGGTGGCAGCCTGCAGGGCAGCACAAGGTGGCAGCCTGCAGGGCAGCACGAGGTGGCAGCCTGCAGGGCAGCACACAAGGTGGCAGCCTGCAGGGCAGCACAAGGTGGCAGCACAAGGTGGCAGCCTGCAGGGCAGCACAAGGTGGCAGCCTGCAGGGCAGCACAAGGTGGCAGCCTGCAGGGCAGCACAAGGTGGCAGCCTGCAGGGCAGCACAAGGTGGCAGCCTGCAGCATTTTGCAGCAGTCGGATATCCGGTTATCCCGATTACTGACTTTCCCAAAATTTCAGGGGGGGCCGAGCCCCCCCCCCCAGCCCGCCCCAACCCCCCCTGTGGCTCCGCCCCTGGTGGGGAAGCCTTCACCCAGCAGTGCATTGAAAAATGGTTAAACCTGTAGACTTTCGCGACCAATATGATCCATAAGAGTTTTTTTGGGTTAGATCGCGTAAATATGTTTAAATATATTTACGCGATATATATTTACACGATCTAACCCCAAAAATGTTTCTATTATGGATTACAAAACGGTTGTAAATTATTATAATTACTATGTAGTATTTACGTTAACGAATTAATATAGCTTGAAATGGTCATCATTTTCGAACGTGGAATTTCCACCGCTGGCACTTGGCGGTAAACGAGATGCAATCGCTTGCCCCGTTCGAAAAAGCTCGCTGAACGTTTAGCCACTTGGGTTACCGACAGTGCCGCCTTGTTCGTGGACCATGGCAGCGAGGTCCTTGAAAATGGAATTCACATCGAGCAGATCGCTCTGACAAAAAAGCACAGACACAGGCAGACGGACAGTTACAAAAACAAATATTTTAGAAACTACGTTGCAAAATTACATAGCACACTCAAACGTTGTGCAGTCGGGGGGGCGATTCTTGCTTACGTGCAAATCCCAATTGAGCAATTTGCGAGTCGTTTTTCAAACATGGCAAATTTTGACTACGACGATGCCACGAAAGTGGCCTAAACCTTGCGGGCGACGTCACGGGATCCGAGTCGTCCACCGTGAAGCAGATGGCGCACATTTTTGCGGTTATCGTGCCCGTAGTATTAATCAAGGCAGCCGCTGGATTTGAACGGTGAACGTCTGCAACAGGCGGGGAATGCGCTTCCGCCTCACTAGGCTTGCACAGTTATTTAAAACGACAATAATAATTAGGCTGCCTCGCACACGTGGATTCATGTCAAATTGAAAATACATTTCTGGTTGCGAGTGTCCGAATGCAATAACGTCTCATGATGTTATAGAACAGTGGGGGGGAGGACGTCATATTGAGTGTGATTGATGTTTGATTCCCGCTCACGGACAACACCGGTGACAATTATCTGATTCGATTCTGGGCCACCCCTAGGTTGACTTAACCTCAAATGAGTACCGAGCGCGATCTGTAAACATCAACCATTGGTGAGACAATGGCGGCCGGCCTGGTGCAGGTCACACACAACCCCTTGCGAGCCGTGCCGGCATTCATAGGTGCTCACTAACAGCACTTTCCCCACGACTGCACGGATGAAGATGCAACAGTCGGCATTTAGATGAATAAATGAATGGGTCACACCTCGAGTTGACCAATGACAATGTCCTCCAAATCATTGTGCGTTAGTCGTTAATAGATGCTTGCTAACAGTGGTAGCTTAAACAGTCTACTGGGCTATATGGGGGGACCTTTATTGTTTGTGTGTTTGGTTAGCGATCGTTAATATATTGAATATTTTGAGTTACGTGTTGCAGAAAGAGAGCAAATACTCTCTAAACAAATGCTGTGCGCATATGGTGATGTAAAATTAGCGTCAAGTTACTTGACATCAGGTGATGAACTGTGTACGCGTGTGCAGGCGTGTGCGTGCATTAAAGATTTGAACGAGTGAACTAACGGGTGAGCAAATTAACGGGTCGCACCTCCAGTTGTTGAATGGCTTCATGCCGCACTTGAATGTCCTCCAGGTCCTTGTGCGTCAGCTGCTCCTCTGTCGACTCGGCTGACACCATCTTCTTGCTATCCCAGCCGTGCTCATCCTGGGAACTCTGCTACCACCACCACATTTGGCACAACCAGAGCCTCAGACAGAGCCTGCCTGCCCCTCGCTGTCATCCCGATGGGGATGACAGCAAGGGGCAGGCAGACGGTAGCGTCTAATGCAGGGTCGTAGCCACACACTACAAGCTGTGGATGTCCTACAAGTGAATTATTCCTTGTGGTTATTGGTGAGATTACACACAAAAACAAAGACCCCCCCCCCCCCCACCTATAGTCTTAACAGACTTAAATTTAGATTTAAAGCTTTCGTGACTGCAGTGATTCATATTCTTGGTTCTTTCGGTAAAATCACGTTGAAGGGAAACAATAAAATATATATAAAACGTTTCGACTGCAACACTGTGTTGCAGTCGAAACGTCGTGAGAATTTTATTGTTTCATATAAATTTTATTATTTTATTGTTTCCTTTCAACGTGACTTTACCGAAAGAACCAAGAATATGAATCACTGCAGTCACGAAAGCTTTAAATCAAAATATTAACAGACTGTTGGGGAAACTTGTAACGTACGCTGTAGTTGAGCCCTTCAAGACGAAGTCCCGGGGACGTTGAATGCACTCACCTGGATGGCCGCTCGCTGCTCGCTGCTGATGACCTCTTTTGTTTTCTGGGAAATTTTCTGCGGGAGATAAAACGTCGGAAGGCAGCGGTCGTCCACGGCGCTACCGCTCCGCCGGCAGTATACGCGAGCGCAGCTTTGCGCGCCTGGTCGCTGACTGATGTAGGGCGAACCAGATTGCCCCCTTAATAATCACACAGCAAATTGACAATTGAGCACGGTTTGCTCCGTAGGGTGCGAAAGAAGTTCAACATACGTGCATACGACAAGCCCTTCCGTTGCACGGATGCTTTTTTGTGGCGGGGATAAAAGCTCTCCTTCGTACGTAAACTAATTATTTGGTGGTGGACAAGCATAATTAACGAAACAAAACATAGATTTGTTTTCCTTTTAGGCCCATGTTTTCGAAAAGTGTGTCGAGTTTTTTTTTGTCATTTGTATGACACTTGACAAGAAACTGGGCAATACATTATGATTGAATGTTGCGTGCGGTAATTCCTTGGATGGCATCAGGGGTACGCTAGATGCATAGCTTCCATGCCTCCGGTGTAAGTGCATAATGGGCGGTGGTTGCTTATGCGATGAACAGACTGCACTTAACAACATTCGCAATCAGGGCAACAACTCTTTCGATCACTCTTTGGTTTTTTCGGTAAAGTCACATATAAATAAGAAAACATAAAATAACATAATAGCGTACGACGTTTCGGTTGCAACACAAGCAGCCATCATCAGGCACAGAAGAGCTAAATTATGAGAGAGGGGAGACACATAACCTCAGATGTATATACAGACACCCAAGTAGGGGGGAACTAACACAGATACAACAGGGGGACACAGAGAGAGAAGCATACCAGACAAACAGGGTTTAGCTAAATTTTTGGAAACCATGTAAAGCAACACAGACGGTCGGTCAAAACACAATTAACGCACAGTCCAGTTGATCACGCTATTTCAAAAGATTGTCACTCAGCCTTACCTTCTCTGCCTATTTAAGGCGACTTTACTGTGTGCTTGTCTCTGTGCTGGCTCGCTCTACTTGGTTGTCGGTGTGTGTGTGTGCGGTCTGTAACAACTAAGCTTGTGCCGGAGGCCCCGGGGGGCCAGGCGTCTATGACGTCTCCTGGCCAAACCCCAATTGGCGGAGCCAGGAGATTGAATACCTACCCTCGGGGCTACTCCAGAAACAACGAAAAGCCACTACGGGTGGCCACGTGGAATGTTCGAACGCTCACTGCAGAGGAGAGGCTGCCACTCCTCTGTCGGGAGCTGGACCGGTACCGCCTGGATCTATGCGGCATTCAGGAGGTCCGGTGGACCGGCTCTGGCTCCTGCCACCATGAGGGGTGGACAGTCCTCTACTCGGGGCAGCAGACTGCCAAACAACAGGGTGTGGGTCTTCTTTTGAACAAAAGAATGAAGGGGGCATGGGAGCGTGGCGGTGAGGTGTGGGAAGCTGTAAGCCCCAGGCTACTTTGGGCTCGCCTTCCCATCAACCGGAGGCGAGGAATGGTGGTCGTGGTTACTTATGCCCCCACCGAAGATGAACATCCGTGGAGGGATGCAGGCAAAGCCGATGAGTCAGATGCCTTCTATGACCTCCTGTCACAGGTGCTGGCTAAAGTGGCCCCTCGGGATAGAGTCATCATGTTGGGTGACTTCAATGCCCGAGTTGGTCATGATACTGGCACCTGGTCTGGAGTGATTGGAGGGCATGGGCCAGATCAGCTCAATAACAACGGTAGGAGGCTGCTAGATTTTTGTGCAGCCCATGGGCTTGTAATTACCAACACGCTGTTCCGGCATCGGCGCATCACACAACATCATGGATGCATGCCGGGTCCAAGCAAGAACATCTGCTGGACTACATAGTGACGGACCAGCGAATGCGAGCCCATGTCCTTGACACCAGGACCTACCGTGGAGCTGATCTGCCCTCTGACCATCGACTAGTCATCTGTAAGATGCGCCTGCCATTCTTCCACTCCGGTGGTGGGTGTACACCCAGGACCCCATTCCAACCTAAAGTGGCCTGGTCTCAGTTATCTGATGAAAGTTGCAAGCGAGAATTTCATCATCGCTTGCGGCTGGGATTGGCATCGTCCCCGACTCCTCCTGATGTCGAGGGTAAATGGGCGAGGTTTAGGACTGTGACTCATGCAGCTGCAATGGCTGCTTTGGGTACGCGGTCCAGACCTCCCCAGACACCCAGGCTGACAGAGGAGTTGTTCAGGATGGTTGAGAAAAAGCGACAGGCCCACTGTCATCGGCTACAGAATCCCACGTCAGAGAATGAGGAGGCTTACCGCAGCCTTCGCTCGGAGGTTCGGAGAGCCGTGAGGCGCTGCAAGGATGGGTGGTGGTCGCGGGTTGCTGAGGAGATGGAGTCTGCCTCAGTGGCCCGTGATCACAAATCTCTATTTAACTCCATCAAAAAAGTAACCTGCAGCGCCACACCTATTACCATCATTAGGGGAAAAAACGGTGATCCAATTTCCGACCCCCAGGAACAGGTTCGCAGATTTGCTGAGCATTTCTGTGAGGTCCTGGGGGAGGGAAAATCCCTCAGCCAGGAAAACATCGTGGCACAAAGTGAGGATGACCCTGCTGAGGCTGCGGTGCCTCAAATATTGGATGAAGTCACCCCCTGTGAGTGGCTGGCTGAGGTTCCATCTGCTGAGGAAGTATTGAAGGCGATCCGGAGTCTGAGACCAGGAAAGGCAGCGGGCAGAGATGATCTCCCAAGCGAAATGCTGAGGGAGGGTGGCGTTTGTGCACAGACTGCCCTATATGACATCATAACAACAGTCTGGACCACTGGACGGGTTCCGCAGGATTGGAAGGATGCCCTGGTGGTCCCCCTTTTTAAGAAGGGGGACCGCACAGACTGTAACAACTACAGGGGCATCTCACTCCTCAGTGTGCCGGGAAAGGTCCTGGCAAGGATTATTCAGCATCGCCTTGCCAGGCACGCTGAGGAGAGGCTTGCGGAGCCCCAATGCAGTTTCAGGAAAGGGCGGTCCTGCACAGATGCCATATTTTCTGTCCGTCTGCTACAGCAGAGGTGTAGGAAATTCCAGCAAGACCTACATCTCTGCTTTATTGACCTGGTCAAGGCCTATGATACCATCAGTAGGCCTGGGCTCTGGGTCGTTCTTCGTGCTTTTGGAGTACCTGACCCTCTGCTCACGATCATTAAGGACCTTCATGATGGTGAGCGGGCCTGGGTAAAACTACGTGGCCGGGAGTCAGAGCCTTTCCCTGTACACCTTGGGGTGCGACAGGGATGTCCTCTGGCTCCCACATTATTTAACATCTATTTTGACCACGTAGTTCGTGAAGCCTTCAATAGCTGTACCGGGGGAATCTCCATATGGTACAGATATAATGGGAGGCTAATCGATGCCCGGGTGCGGTCAAGGGATGGCTCCCTATTGCTCAACCACGTTATGTATGCTGATGATTTGGTAATAGCTGCTCAGTCAGAGAAGGAGTTGGAGACGCTGCTGCTGAGACTGGAGCGTGCCACTAAGAGGTGGGGCCTTACCATCAGCCCCACCAAAACCAAGCACCTGCCTGGGTATTTTGTACCATCGGACACTCCGCCCCCACAACTCCCAATCGGTGATGGGGCAGTTGTGGAGAGAGTGGAGAGTTTCCCATACCTGGGCAGTGTGCTTATGACTGGCTCCAGTTTAACAGCAGAGGTCTCACTCCGAATCAGTCGAGCGGCAATATCTTTTCATCGGTTGCGTAACGCTGTGTGGAAGCTACCTGGTCTGTCGCTCCGCACTAAGCTTCAGGTCTTCTCGGCCACGGTCATTCCCTCCCTTCTCTAAGCTTGCGAAACGTGGACCCCCCTGGTGGAACATCTTCGCCGGTTAGAAACATTTAGGCTGGCCTGCCTACGATCCATCCTGGGTTTAACCAGACTGGATTGTGTGAGGAGCTCACAAATCCTTGAAAGATCTGGGCAGGGTCCCATCGGTGAGCTCCTCCGGCAGGCAAGGCTGCGATGGCTGGGTCATGTAGCCCGCATGCCCAGCCACCGCATGCCGAAACAGCTTTTGTTTGGCCGGATTGAGGGGGCTAAGCGGGCGCGGCACGGGCTAGAGAAGAGATGGAGTGATGTGGTACAGGAGGACGTGGAGCTGAGTGGACTTGCCGATGACTGGTACCAGCGGTGTCAAGATCGGCCTCTGTAGAGGAGGCTCGTGAAGGATGCTACTGGGCAGTTGGAGGCAGTCGCCCTCCAACAACAACGGAGGGCGGAGGAGCGACGCTCACAACAACGAGCGGAACGCCGGGTGGCTAAAGCACAGCAGGTTGGCACAGTAGGGGGCACAGGTGGTGCATCAGCCAGTCATCTCAGTCAGTCGACCCGTGGCACCTGGGTCTGCCCAGTGACCTCCTGCCAGCGGGCGTTCGACACTTCACGTGGCCTCACGGTGCACATAGCCTGGCACAAGCGTCGTGGTGACGTCACCGCCACTTAGTGGCGAATGGCGGTTGTTGTTGTTGTTTGTGCGGTCTGTATTTTGAGTTTCATACTTTACTTGCAATTTAGCAATATTTTGAAATAGCGTGATCAACTGGACTGTGCGTTGTGTTTTGACCGACCGTCTATGTTGCTTTATATGGTTTCCAAATTTTTCTAAACCCTGTTTGTCTGGTATGCTTCTCTCTCTGTGTCCCCTGTTGTATCTGTGTTAGTTCCCCCTACTTGGGTGTCTGTGTATACATCTGAGATTATGTGTCTCCACTCTCTCATAATTTAGCTCTTCTGTGCCTGATGATGGTTGCTTGTGTTGCAACCGAAACGTCGTACGCTATTATGTTATTTTATTATTTCTTATTTATAGGTGACTTTACCGAAAAAAACAAATCGTAATCCCTGCAGTCACGAAAGCTTCAAATCAACTCTTTCCATCTTGTGAAGGAGAAGAGCCGCACCTGCCGTGTCCAGCCGGAACACAAAAACCACACGTGAGCAGTAATACACGTGAACACACTCCACTCAGAAACGTCACCTTCTGTGTCTGCTGGTAGCTTCTCAGCGTTTCTGAAAACTGGCTCTTGAGGCGGTCAAGCTGCAGCCGATCTTGCTGTAAAGGACAAAAATGCGACAGCGAGGATTTAGCCCCATTGTTGGCGGCGGATACGAACGTGCGGGTGGGAACACTTCTACCTATTCGTCAACAGAGCCTCGCTAAATGCCAAGGACTCGTCAGCCGACAATGGCTAGGCATAGCCTGCATTCTGCAGGAGGGGTTTTAATGTCATGTTTTGCAACTTAAGTTGGTCGCTGGGCAGAAAGCACATTTGCTGGTGGCAGGAGTAAGAGGTTTCAATCAAGGGCTCATGATGTCGGTCATGATGGATTTTGAAGCCCCCTCGATCAGTCGTAGACAAATTTCCTTGGCCGGTAACAGCAAAATAAAATGCTCTTGGCATCTGACTTGCTGCCTTTCAATTTTCAGAAAGTAGTGATGCAGCTGCCATGTAAAAAAAAAAAACCTGCGTTTTAATTTTATAAAATGGATACGGTGTGTTTTGGCATAAATAGGTACAGAAATATTTAGATCTGGAAATTGTACAGTTTCCATACGAATTGGCGATGAAAAGTGGGAGGATAGATAACAAAATGTGCCTTAATGCTACAGCATCTGAAATGACCTGAAATTGTAGGCTTCAGAATTATGACAATAATAATAATCCCAAGTTTCACTGAGAAGGCTTCAACTGCAAGGCAAAGGTCAAGATGCGCATATCGACGCAAGTTAATTTTACAAATTTTTCAATAAAAAGGCACCGGTTCCAGTTAATGTTTGTCAGGATTTCATGAAAACGCGCCGATGTCTTAATCACCAACAATGAGACAAATCCCACAAATGTGTTTCATCATTAAAACGAATAGCAAGTGTTTCAGTGTTTTCACCGACATGGAAATCTGGTCATGAGTCCGAATTGCAACGTTTGGGCAATTTTCTCCCCCAGTCTCTGGTCATACCCGAGCCAACAGAAGAACATTTTGTCCGTTTCAGAATTCAGTCACGCGTTTGTGCTCAGCGGAGGCAACAAAGGCACGGGGTGGTTGATTTAATGAGGGGGAAAAAAAACCTCCAATCCACAAGTAAAATAATTGACAGCAGTGGTGAGAGCATGGGGGAATGTGGGCCCGAGTGCTTTCAAGGAGGCCCAAATCGCGCCCGCATGCCTTGGTGGATTTTCTGGCGAGATTGGCAAGGTGGCGGAGCGATGAGGCGGTGTCTGTGATGAGCTGGTTGCTCCGCTGCTGGTTGTTGTGCCTGCACGCGGAAACGGTGAAATGTTCAATGCCAATAATTTTTTTACGTAGTAAGGTCTCACCGAGTTTTGCAAATCTCTTTCAGAAGAGGGTCTCCTGCATTGGGATATTTGGCCACTTCCATGAATGGTGTTTGGCTTACATGTGGACGGAAATGAGTACTTGGAGAAAAAAAAGAGTAACTCTACGCATATCAGCATAAAACCCAAAGCTCTGCACCGATGGATTACATAATCTATCACTCTACTGCTGGCTCCTAACCACTTCGCAGCTCAAGACTATAATGCCTGGAAATTCCCAAAAATACCTGGTGGTCTCCCATCTAAGTGATAACCCAGGCTCAGCCCTGCAATTGGGTGCTTTCAGTGTGATGGTCAAAGGCATATTCAGGGCCTTCATTATGGTCACATTTACTGAAACACAACAATTCCCCAAAGGACCCACCCTAAATGTGGCCGATCACACCAGAGCCCTGGCGCACCATCATCGGCGGCCTACCGCAGGACCGGGGCCAACTTCGGCGCGGACCACAGCTGGCTGACGTCAAACACCACGGCCGACTTGGACTGTGCTCAGCGTGTCGGCGCGCTCAGGTGAGGTCACCTGGTGGTGTCTCGTGGGGACTGCTACGCTCCGGCCAGGGACAAGCGACCGATGAGGAAATGCTTCCGAGCCTGGTTAGTGATTTGTATTTGTGAGCATCAGGGCTTGCCGAGTACTACGGGCATGGGGTTCTCAAGGTGTTTTTTTCCACACAATGCCCCTTAATGGGAAGGGCCAAACATCTCTTGCTTAGCTGGTGAGTCTTTCCTGAGTGAATCATTAATTGGCATTATTATTGTTGTTGTTGTTGTTTGCTATAACTGGCAGAAGGAAAAGTCACGCTCACCTTCTTCGTGGCACACGCACTCGCAGGTAAAATAAGTTAGAAATTTTACCCCAGAACATTTTAAAAATGCATTTTTCAGAGAATAAAAATTGACGCAAAAAATGTATAGTTCATTACTTAGCACATACTACTGATGTTTAAAAAAAAAAAACGTGATTGTTTGTGTCTACATTGCGGTGGCATAGTAGCTGGCTCTCCACTGCACTATGAACTTGGGATGCCCAGATTCAACTCCTGGCAGTGCTGCACACAACACTAATGTGCTCGAACTGTTCCCGGGTATCTCTCAGGCTGACGCCGACGAATATTCGTACCCAATGCCGCAGTGTGATCAACAACAATAACAGAGAGACAAAGATGGCCAAGGAATATAGGGGTGCTGATCACATCATCTTCTCGTGTGCTGCTGTGCACCCTTTATAGGTGCTTCCTTACAGGTACCTTCTCCAGCAGTGCGTGTAGGACGTAACAAACTGGGGCAAATATAGGGCAATCATTGCTGAAAATTGTCACCGCCAACGCATTTACTGTATGCAATTAGGGCAATTTTATATGGCAGTGTCAAAGAATTTGGTCACAGAGTGTGCTTGATGAACTATGATTGGTCTAAATAGAACACAACCTCAGATAGTAATGCGACTTTTGTCTGTGATCTAAATGGAAATTGCCATCCCATTTGCCCACTTGGAGGATGTGACCAGATCTGAACACAAATACCAATTGTGCTCAACAGAGAGGGTCCTTACCCATAAACATCTGGCAGGTCACCAGCGTTAGTTCAAGCAAGCCCGACTGCTGATGAGACACTGAATTTCAAAACCGGTTGAGAATTTGCTTACGTTGAACCAATGCTGATGAAATTATGCACTCCTCGAAGATTGGGTGACTGATGGAATGTGTAAATAATAGTTTTATATTCCATGTGGAGATACAGACATGTGAAAGAGGCATATTGTTTGCTTATTTGATTTGTCCAGACTCGGAATACCATAGATAATTGTGTAGCAACCATTGCTAGCAACAACTGAACTTCAAGCGCCTTAAGTGAAGGTGCTCTTTAAATATAAATTCGATTAAAATGCCCTCATCCATCATGGTTGCTTGACTGGTCTGCGCATTTCAGTGATCATTGTCTGATACAAGCTATTAGCAATTTGAATGCAAACAGCATTTAAATTCCAAATACCAAGAGCACCTCAAGATGATGCACAGCGGTACTTGATCAGTGCAAACAGTGCACACGAAATGCAAATAAAATTTTTAAAAATAACAAAAATAACTAAAGACGTGAGTGGAAAGACTGAGCAGTGGTTTAACATGTAGCAGGCCAATCAGCAAAAACAGTGTCACGTTGACAAAAGACAAATAGTTCACTACGTTAGCCCACTGGTGTGTTGAAGAGTGAATCCACAACATTTACAGTTTTTGAGTACGACGTTTCGCTGGTAATTACATCCAGCATCATCGGGCAATTTGCCAGAATAGTGAATCCCTCCACCTGCTCCCGGTCTTAAGTAGAGCAGCAGGGTGACGTCATCAATCACAATGATAAATTAGCTTATCCGGTATTTGTGCCGTTGTTTACAGCGCACGGCTATCGCGAAGGCACTATGCCTGTCCGGGGAACAATGTTCCAGCGGAGTTTTACCCAAATAGGTAAAAACCCATCTCAAACACTTACAACCCACGCGCTAATGATGGAGGTGCTCCTTACAGCTGCTGCCGCAGGTCTCTGCTGTCCGAAGCTGCTCCCAGCTTCTGCAGCTGTTTATCCAGCGCGGACACTGTGGGAGGGTGATAAGGGTGGGGATTGTACATCTTCAATTAAAAAAGACACGCTCATCTCATTGACTTACACAACTTTAAGCCTGCAAATCCAGCCTACTGGGCTTGTGGATCATGCATATTTGTAACACTTCCAAACCCTTCGGGGTCTCACGGAGTTTGACAATAAGCCCGCATTGTACATCCAATGTGGTGGTCATATCGGGCGAGCGCAAGGCATGGGAGTTAATGCATTCCTGCCGTTTGTGAGCACACCGCTCTGTGTGTTGTTAAATATACAGAGCCCACGACTGTTTTCTTTGGTAAATTCTCTCCAGAATGCACAGTAATGTCAATGGTGACAACCCACACGCACTAAAAAAAAACCCTAAAGAAACACTCTTGATATTGGTGAAGTGGCGAGGGATACGTAGGTGTTCCCAATGCCGTGCAAATGCGTTGGTGCCTGGGTGCTGGGTGTACTGGTGCAGTCCCACTCACCACTTCCATTAATCTGGAAGATATTCTTGCTGATCTCTTGGGAGAGCTCCCGGAACTCTTCTGCTTGGGACTCTGCAAATCACAGATTTGACAGCAGCGACAAGGGCAGGGTCTTACGGCGCGACCCTCTATTGCTCCCCCAGCGTCAAGGATTTTTAAAACAATGACTTTCATTTAGGGACATGTGGGAGCCCATTGAGATGAGTGTCCTAATAACAAAGGAGACATGAGTAAATACAAAGAGATGGATTAAATTCAGTGAAATTGTAAACTATATATATTTTTATTTTACCAGGTAATACCCATTGAGCTAGTTAGCTCTTTTTCAGAAGTGACCTGGCCACAGATTATAGCTCAACAAAGTGACTTATCATGTGGAAATGTATAGGAGCAAAATACTCTAAACGTATATTTCTAAATGTGGGGGGATAAACCGGAGGGCCTGGAGATAAATTCCCACGACCATTGGGAAAACGCGCAAACTCCAAATATGCAGGCATCAGGGTCGGGATCGAACCCACGACCTCCTGCATTACGGCGAGGTAGTTGACATCTAGCCACCATGGCACAATTAATGGGGGTTGGGGGTGGGGTGGGAGTGGCCCAGATAAAACCAAAACATGGGCAATCCAAGACCAGACTGTTAAGTTCTAATTTTAATTGGCAACTTTGTATAAGCCTTTGCTAAATTTGTCCCATTTTCTATGAAGTCCTTGCAACTTTACAATGAAGTTTTCTACAATGAAGTTTTCTGCAAATGGACAGAGATTTTTTTTTTTAGAAATTGTCCAAAATTTTTTTACGTAACAAGTCACTTGTAATCTCTTGGGCTCAGGCAGGCTGCACATAGGTGGCACGACCATGACCAATACCCAATGTCTTGGACCCGTACCAGGGCTCGCGGGTCACCACCTCCCAACCCCCACCTCCCCCCTGCCTAATACCACTCACCCTGGCCATGAGGATCGAGCAGGGCATCTTGTCCCTCCCTGATGGCACCGTATGACATCTCGCTGGTGGTCTCTCACCGGTTCCTTTCTAGATACCGCAAAGGGGCTTTCTGATCTTGCGGTGTCTCCCAGACCTGGGTGGGCGTCACAAGAAGTCAGAACCCCCCCCCCCTCAAATATGACGTCACAAAGCTCTGCTCCCCACCCTCCCAAAAACCATATTTCCATTTGGTAAAATTAAACATGCTTCAAATCGCTTTAAACTATTGTCATTGTCGTGCGTATTTAATGTGGCGCTGCACTCTGATGTTGTAGGAGAAAACATTGATTAAAAAGTCTATTTAATTAAGTAGAACGTGTTGTCTATATTTATTCAAAGTTGCGCATTTTGACGTGACGTCACATTTCTCAAACCCCCCCTCCCTCTCCTCGTCACACATCGTCACAAACGTCTGACCCCCCCCCCCCCCCCCAGGTGCGTGACGTCATTTATGGACGGCCCCATTGCCCGGGGGCTCACGACCGATTATAATTCAGTGACCAACCGGCCCTAAGTCGACTCAGCCACAAACGAGCAGCCTTAAGTAACGAGAGGGGGTGGTGGGTAGAGGGGGGGGAGAGACAAAGGCGGCCGGGCGTGGTGTTTTCCCACCCCACCGCGCCTCCGTGTCCAAGCACCTTCAATAGGTGCTCGCTAAGCATCACTCTGCACCGGGCAGCCTTGTCAAGGTGGTGTGGCGGTGGTGGTGTTGTGGCGGTGTTGTGGCGGTGGTGGTGTTGTGGCGGTGGTGATGGTGGTGTGGTGTTGTGGCGGTGGTGTTGTGGTGAGACTTGCGCCCAACGGCACTGTACCTCGCAAAGTTGCCACCGGCGAGAAGCCGCTGCTGTTGCCGATTAACTCGTGGAGACACACAGAGAGACACACACAGAGACACACAGAGAGAGACACACAGACACACACACAGAGACACACAGAGAGAGACACACACACAGAGACACACACAGAGACACACACAGAGACACACACACAAAGACACACACAGAGACACAGACAGAGAGTGAACCCGGCTGATTAATTACAGCACGCTGGTGGACTCAAGACGCGAAGATCGCCATAGACACACACACAGAGAGACAGAGAGACGCGCGCAACACAGAGAGAGGGTAGTGACGTCCAGTCGACGTTGGTTCCGCATTGCAACAGCTTGCTCAACGCCAGCACACACGTGCGCCACTGATACAACAAATGGGGAAGTAACTCCCCCCTCGCCCCCCCAGCGGACGGGAACTGTCCAAGATCGAGTAAGAGGATAGCACGGTCGGCCGGCTGCCTTTGTATCCCCTACCCCCCACACGTAGGCCTAGACGAGACTTTAGGGAAGATTTAAAACAAACGCACGCACACAAACACGAAAAAAAAACCTGGTTCTTTGTACACAGCTCATTCCACTTACAGCTGTTTAGAATCCCAACATTTTAATGGCAACAACACGAGTGGAAGCGCACCGTAGGTTTGCTCTGTGGGAAGATGTACACCGCTGTTGTGATGTCCTGATGAGCGAGGCGCCGCGTGGGGTGTTAGTGAGCTCGTGTGTAGAGGAGGGTTGTTGGGTTTCTTCCCAGGGCTGGGAGAAAATACAAAACTCCACCGTCGTAACAGAATCATTCGTTAGTCGGACAGAGCACAAGTTGCAAACAACAACAACAACAGCAACGTGCAACGATTTGTCAACAAACCAAAAGCAAACAGAATTTGTGTACATATGCAAAAGCCACAGGACAACAAGACCACAGTCTTTGACAAAATGTCGATTTCCTTTTTTTTTGCAAAGCAAACACAAAAGCTATATATGTGTGCGTGTGCTTGTTTTTTTTTTACACATTTGCATGTGCGTGGGGAGTTGCAAAGTTTACGACGATACTTCACGTGAGAATAACGTGGAGGAAGAAACTGCCAGGAGCGAGATTAATCCAGTAGGTGGCAGTCTCGTTGCAAGCTCAGTCGAAAGTGGTCTTATTTTTTTTGTTTGTTACGAAAACGACCACGCTGAACTTCAGAGTCCAACAATAATAACGAACTACTATGCCCCTGGATAGACTTTCAGTCGTTTCGGCTCATCCTTTCACAGAAAATACTTGTGCAAACTATGAATTCTACTTTTCTTATTTCTGGGTGGTATTGAAAAGAACTCGTATAATTCTGTAGATTTTTTCTGGCAGGAAAGGTGTTGGTGTTCTACATGTCAACATCAGAGGGCTTGTGATTAAGTGGCAAATCTTGACCCGGACATTTCTTGCCTAACAGAAACATTTCTCACTCCTGCCGCCAATGACTTGCAGATTGCGATTGACAACTACAACCTTTTTCGGCTTGACCGAGGATCTAAAGGAGGTGGAATTGCCATCTATGTTCGTAATACTATTGTATGTTCACTAGCTCACTCCTTGTTTAAAAAAATGTTGCTTTGAAGGTCTGGCTCTCAGAATAACTCTCCCAAATAATCAGCAGATATTGGTAGTGTGCTGCTATCGACTGCCTAGTGGGAAGGATGTTGAAGCTGCATCTGCACTGAGAGAGCTTTTGGGGGCCTCCCTAAAGGTGAAATAGTTTTAGTGGGTGATCTAAATTGGAATTGGCTAAACCCGCCGGCCGTGGCCACAAATTTTGCAGATTAATTTAATCTGTTTCAATTAATAAATGTCCCCACAGGAACCAACCTAAAAAATCCGGGATAGTCATCTCTGCTTGATGTCCTATTGACAAATGCCCCCCACAATTTCACACTGACTGGTGTTCTGGGTAATAACCTTAGTGATCACTCCATTTTTGGGGTGAGATCATCAGCCAGACCCAAAGCCCCCATAAATTGGTTGAGAAGCACTCTATGAGACACTTCAGCACTCAGGCATTTACTAATGATGTGCTTCACTCGGATATTGACAAGGTCTGTGATATCCCCAACCTGACTACGGCTTGGAAGACCTTCAGATACACGTTTCTCCAAATTCTTAACAAACATGCTCCGTTGGTTAGATATAAAACTAAAGGCAACCGCCCACCATGGTTTGATCCTTTGATTACAAAGCTCATGAAAAGTAGGGACAAGGCTTGGGCATGTGCTCAGAAAAATAATTTGGTCAATGACTGGCTAGAATACAGGGTTTTAAGAAATAGATGCGTCAAAAAAATATGGCATGCAAAAAATGCCTACTTTTCCTCCACTCTCCTGGAATCACATGGAAATGCCAGGATTTTCTGGAAAACAATCAAATGTATCGAAAAGGCATCCAAAACAGACAATCTGCCCATTGAGCTTGACCGAAATGGGGAATATTTTTCAGATCCCCAAAAAATAGTTGACACTTTTAACCTTCATTTTTCTGAAGCTGGTAATCTTTTTGATAATGTATTGGGAGTCACCCCTGCTCATGCAAATTCCTACACCCCTGTCCAAACATTAAACAAATTTCGTTTCCAGCCAATCCACGAAAGTAATGTTCTGAAACAACTGTCCTACCTCAAAGGGTCCTCCTCTACCGGAGCAGATAGTATTCCCATCTTTGCTCTACTAACTGTTGATCACCTAATATACAAACCTATAGCCCATATTTTCAACCTGTCCATCAAAGAAGCATCAATTCCTCTAGAATGGAAACATTCCTATGCCCGTCCACTTCGCAAAGGGGGCCCTAAAGATGATCCAAATAACTACCGACCTATCTCAATTTTGTCCCCGTTGATGAAAATTTTTGAAAAATTATTAGCAGTTTCCTGTCCAGCAACAATTCTACTACATCTAAAACAATCTGCCCCAAGTACTGTACTGAAGAACCTTGATTCCATCTATCACTCGGCCTTAAGATTTAGATTGAACTGCCCATATGGGACTCGCCACTGTGATCTCTACATTGGGTCAAACTTAACATCTCTTAATGTTCGACGGCTTGTGCACCAGATCTTATTTATTCACGATGTACTTACAAAAAAATCCGCAGTCTACCTGCTGGATCTCCTCTCTGTTTCAAAGAACAAATTTGACCTCAGGTCTTCGCTCATTTACCAGCTTCACATTCCCTATTGCTGTACAAAACTGGAGGAAGGGCCTTTGCTATTGATGCCCCCAGGGTCTGGAATGCTATTGCCAATAAACTGCAACTTGAATCGCTACCAATGAGATCTTCTCTCAAAACTGCTCTAGAGGAGTGGTACACCCCTAGCTGCCACTGCTATTTATTGGCGTAAAATAAAATAAAATGTTTTCGCTCCGGATGACGCTGCAAAATCTGCATTTTGATTTAGCGTGCTGTTCTTAAAGGTGCATTGAAAAAATTTATACTCCGACTGATGCTTCTGTTGTTGTGGAGTAACTCATGCAGCCAGCTATGGCTCTAGAATTTGGTGTTACATGTTATTTATGTAGTTTATTGTAAAAATTCGGTCACAGTCCCTGTGATCACTCTTACGTTGCAAATATGGCTTTATTTTTTGGTGATTTCAAAAAGTTTTTTGGTTTGGACATGTTTGTTTTGTTGTAGTACGGAGTTAGACTGATGGCCTTAATCTAAGTTTTCTTGTGGTTGTTGTTGTTGTTGTTTGACTTGCATCCCACTGGGATTTTTTGCACACAGCGTTGGTGTACGGTGCTTTTTTCAGGAATATTTTGCTGTTTTTTCATGGATTTTCTGTTTGCACAGTCACACATAGTCACTTTAAGATGTTTTTCTTGTTCGTGTTTTTGTTTTTTTGTTTGTTGTTGTTGCACCCGATTCAAGAGCCGAATGGTTCACAGGGCTATTCCAAAATAAATAAACTGAAACTGAAACTAAACTGAAGTGCTGTTAGCAAGTTCCTATTGAGGCCAACACCACACACGAGGGTGCAGTGTGATCAGCACCAGGGACGTGCAGGGGAGGCAGAGCCTCGCCTGCCTCCCCAGCCATTGACCTCACCGCACGTCACTGGTCAGCACGACCTTTACACACACAACGATACAAGTGTTTGCAAATACAACATTGACTCTCAAATCACAATCACCCCCCCCCCCCCGTATGGCATTATCAGACTGTTGGGGCAAGTGCTGTTCGCGAGTAGCACTTATGAAGACCGGCACGGAGTATAAGGGTTTTCAGTTTCAGTTAATTTATTTTGGAATAGCCCTGTGAACCATTCAGCTATTGAATCGGGTGCAACCACAGCAAACAAACAAAACAAAAACACGAACAAGAAAAACATCTTAAGGTGACTATGTGTGACTGTGCAAACAAAAAATGCATGAAAAAAACAGCAAAATATTCCTGAAAAAATCACCGTACACCAACGCTGTGTGCAAAAAATCCCAGTGTGATGCAAGTCAAACAACAACAACAACCACAATAAAACTTAGATTAAGGCCATCAGTCTAACTCCGTACTACAACAAAACAAGCATGTCCAAACCAAAAAACGATTTCGAAATCACCAAAAAATAAATCCATAATTGCAACGTAACAGTGATCATAGGGACTGCGACCGGGTTTTACAATAAACTACATAAATAACATGTAACACCAAATCCTAGAGGGGGTCGATGGCCAACACTACGCCCGGCCGCCTTTGTCTCCCCCAGTGCCAATATTTACACACCGCACCAGGTACTCATTTGAGGCTGAGTCGACATAGGGAAGGCCCAGTACTGGTTCAGATCATCGTCACTGGTGTTGGCCGTGAGCGGGAATGGAACTTGGGTGGCCAGATTTGCAACGCAGTGCGCCAATGGCTACACGACCGCTCTGCAAACCACACTCCCTCAGTCACCCTCACATCCACTTGAACCTTTCCAGTGCTAATTTGCAAGTGTACCCATATATCGGAGCGTGTGGAATGTGCTCCGTCCTTGAATCGGACTGGCAGTCAAAGCACGGAGACATTACTTCTTGGACTATTATTGAGAGACAGAGAGAGGAACACATTGATTAACGAACACATGCAGGTTCATGACATAATTCAAACAGTTAAGGAAGGTAAGTTGGCTTGGGCAGACAATGGTGTCTGATGGTCAAGAGGTAGCCGAGAGTAATGGAATGCATCCGGGAAGATGTCCACGAAGGCAGATGGAGGGACGATATCAGTTTAAGTGCAGGCGGGTTGTTGCATCGTGGTCGTGAGAGGTGGTGGTAGCTGTGGGAAGCACTGATCCAGCATTGGATTGACAAATTTGTGCCAGTGGAAAGTTTTGCAGTTGTCAAAGCTCCCAGAAACCAAGGCCTTCATAAAAATTGAAAAAATTGATCAAACCATGTATATACACTGTAGATGGAACAGCTGGCTACATTGATAATACCTTTAAAAAAGTAACAAAATGCTATCCAGAGGCTTGCAGCCAAATTAGAAAATATTTTACAAATAATGGACTG